GGGGGTTATAGGGAAAGACACGTAGACCTACTGAACTTTAGTGAGCTGAGGTTTAAGCAAAAGGCAGAAATAGCCCAAGGAATTACCGTCATACTATCATCAGAGACGCATATCCTGGATATGCACCGCAGCTTCTGTATGTGGGCGGCAGCTGATAAGGTGCCAACATAACACTTGTACGCATATTGGTTAAGTTTGTAAAGTTTACGCATGACAACAACCAAACCACCTTGGGAAGCAAATAGGCGTGTCATTCAACCTTAAGGCTCATGTTCAGTCGTGGTTCAGGTATGCGAGGAAGATAATTTATAGCTTCATAGTCCTATAAAAGCATAATAATAAAATTTAATGTGCTGAAAATGTGATATTCTCTTTTAAATGCCAGGGGGGAAAATAAAGCTATAACATTCAGAAGCCGATGACTTGCAGATATAAATTAAAATATACATTTAAATGATCTTGTTTATTGCTGCAGCTATTGTAAGAAAATGGCTGGAGGAAGTTTTGGTCATGACCTCGCTCCAAAAGCGACTCCATAAAGGCACTGACAATCCTACAAAAAAGTATTAAGAGCACATTTCTGTTTATAATAATAATCATAATAAATAAAAATTAAACCATCGTCACTCAATGTCACAATGCAGCATGAGAGACGAATTGTACCGCAGTCTGTGAGTCCTGCGTGTTTATTTTATTTTTTTTGTCTCACATGTCCCTCAATGACAGGACGGTGCAGAAAACCTTCGCTTTGCTATTATATACTGTGTGCAAATGAGTTTTTAAGGCTTGTCTCTCTTTGGCTGCACCCTCCCCCCTCTCCGTTTGGAGGCTAACATCATTTATATCTGTCATTTCTACAAACAAGACATGGGGTTTAAATACACTGATAAATGGCTGGATAAAAAAAAAAAATCTTCCGGTTATTTGATATTGCATTATAGATTTTTATGATGCTTATGGAAACTGTTAAAGATTTTATTTAAGTCAGACTATTTTGTTGTCACTGTATCCCTGTGTGCCTTAGAAATCAGTTTTCTAATCATGTAGGTCTATTTTAGTAGTTTAGTTCATCCGAAAATCAATTGAATGCAACATTGAACTATAGCCTCCATGCAAAGCCTTAAATCAGTTGCAGATATTTATTTGGGTCAGGGTAGATTTGGTTGATGTCAGTGTGAGTGTTAGTGACATTGGCTCTGTGAACTTTAACTGGGCTTTTCTATTGTTCTTACCTGTGGTGAAGAGCACAATTGCCTTTAAGCAGCTATATTCTGCAGAGTCAACGTGTAAAGCTTTCAGCTTCTCCACTTGCTCCTGGAAGATCCTAATGTGGTCCATAAAGGCCACCACTCTGTCCGCAGACATAGGGGAGGCGTGGAGGCCAGCCGCCGCCAGGAGAGGAGCCACATGTAGGGGCATGGAGCACTGCGCCGCGTTGAGCACGAATAACTCACTCCACGTCAACCTCAGCAGAGCCACCTGGTCTGTGATCTGCAGGTCCGGGAAGAAGGGAATATTCCTGGCCCACTCCACGGCGCTGAAGAGCATCCTGGCCGCCAGCTCACAAATGTTTTCTATGCCCATGATGTTGTTGGGCTGCATGCACTGGCTGCCATAGCGGGACGTCGGGTAGGGCTCCGCTCTCAACAGAAGAGAGATATATCCGGATAAGTAGGAATGGCAGTGGAGTGGGTCTCCATTTGTCAAGGCGAACTGACCATGGTGTGGCTGTGTGGGTGGCACCCGTCCCCTTTGCACGGCTGCAGTAAAAAGAGAAACTGCAGATATTGAAGCCTGAATTCTACAAAATCAGTAGTTTGTTTTTAGAAATACAGAAATTATCACTGAGAGTGCACAAAAATACATCATAGAATAAACAATGTTCACAATTATTATCAACACCCACACACACATACTCACTCATTGTAACGCATACAATATAAGGCTATAATAAATCTAATTACGCTCTGAAGCATAAAATGTGTTATTTTGCACATAGCTTTCATGAGCTACAGCAACTTTAGCCTTTCTATGAGGGAAACACAAAGACAGACCTTGCATGTTTAACCCTTAACCTACTTAGCAATCCATCTCCATTTTACACACGCACACAGGCCTGCTTTCTCTATTTCATACATGTAAACATATATATATATTTTTTTATTATGCGTCCTTGCTTTTGTTTGGCACGCGATATTTACCCTATGTTCAGCTTTGGATACATGGAGAAATTAGATTAAGCGGCAGACATTTAGCCAGATATGCCGTAAGAGCGCAGGAGGCTATACTGTAACATCTATTCATAGTGCCACCTTCACACGAATGGAATAAAAAACAAAACAAAAGCACGGCCATGTTATAAGGTTGATATAAGTGCAGGTCTATGCGGAGCTGAGCGTAAGGCTAGGGAAGGAAGCCCTGTCTCCATTGCATGCTCCAGCCGTACACCCTTGCAGAGAACAGTCGGGGGGGTTGGAAGAATAGGATAATAGGACTATGGAGGACGACATAATAGCCTAAGCGTTCGTGTCGGGCGGTCTACAAACGCACAAGCACACACACGGATTAGGAAAACCAAAAAATCCCAATACCTTCCCGTCTCATGCCGACTTTAAGGCATTTTTTGAGGCGGCAGTACTGACACTGATTGCGGTGGTGCTGGTCGATCGGACAATTCCTGTTGGCACGGCATGTGTAAGTGAGGTTCCGCCGTACGCTCCGCTTAAAGAAGCTCTTGCAGCCCTCGCAGGTGAACTGGCCGTAGTGTTTGCCGCTAGATTTATCCCCGCACACCACACACTCGATGTGCTGCGGCTGTTTCTCCGACTGCTGCTGCGACGTCTGGTTCGTCGGCGTTGATTGCGCGTTGTTCGGGGGTCCCTGCACTGGTGTCTGAGGGGTCGGCGGGGCGATCTGGGAGGCTGTCAGGTTCAGCTGGCCCGGCTGCGGGGTGGGAAGGGATAGTCCTCCTTGGGTCTGCGAGGAAAGGGCGCCTTGGGTGTCAGCCACATCGTCCTGGGAGCCTCTCCACGCTACCATTGCCATATCTATCAGTCAACGGAGAGAAACTTTTTGTCTGCCGTGTTTGCTGCCCGCGGTGGAGAATGTCTCAAGGAGAAAAAAAAAGGAGGAAAAACTCGGGGGAGTGTAACAGCCTGGCGTTTGGATCCTGTCCGGATCTCCTGAAAACTGTCGGTGCTTATTGCTGTTGGAGACGCTCGGGGAGGCACGCTTTCAAAACTGATGCGACGGCGAGCTGAGCGGCTGCCTTGCGCTTAAAGGCCAAGTCCAGGGGCGCTTACAGTCAGCCATCCAGCACACCCATCAATGGGAGAAAAGGGGAGGCTGAATATTTCAAAACAACCAACCGAGGTAGCATGGGACTGTTCTGGGAACGATGGAGAGGGCTCCCAACAGCAGCATACAAAAACACACTGCAGCAGCTCTACTATCAAGTTCCGACACAAGTCTTGAAGAAAACCAGCCAAATGATAATAATGATCAAAAAATCTGAATAAGCAGCGTCTTCTTCCCGTTTCTCCTTGTGAGGTTGCGCAAAGCAAGCACGCAGCTGAAGCTCAGTGTTTTGAGAGCTTGGGATATGAAGACAACTCTCTTCCCCCTCCAAAAAGAAGCAGTAAAACAAAAAACCTCGGGAAAAAAAAACAAAGATCACAACCTACAAAACCTCCTCCGTGTGCTGAAATATAATAAGAAAAAGCAGCGGAGAATCAAAGTGATCAAATATGTTAAAAAGGCGGAGGTTAGGAAGTGATTTGCGATTGGTAGGAGCCGGGCTGGCAGAATGCTTTCTCTCTGATCAGCTCACTGAGCTCTCTATATAGTGAACTTTGACACGACTGCTGCAACTTAGCCCACGTTACCATGGAGATGTGCTGCCATATAAGGAAGGAGAGTGTGTTTGACTGGTCAGAGCTCAGGGACCTCCCCCTGAACCCTATTGGCTAGTCGGCACTTGTGCTACTTGGTACCTTGCCAGAGCCAGCATGGAGGTCGAGAGGAGGGCCGCTTGGTCCTAAAAGAAGACGATTCTAAGAGAAAGAGTGATCAAATTCTCGTAGACTATAAGAGATGTAAGGCTGCACACATGAAGCTCTAAGAAGCCTTAGGAATTAGGAGAAGAAAAATGATTTACCCCGCATGTATCCGGTTGCAGTAGCTATAGCATTACACGATGGGAAATTAAATGATGTCCCTATTCCTGCACGTGGATTATAATAATCTGAATAGTTTTTTGCCAATCTAGGAGTAAATCACTGTCAGTTTTGCAGAAACTTTCATGTTAAAATAAAAATTTTAACATGAACACGTGCCTTTAAAATTTGAACATTTTCTTTTGACAATATATATATATATATATATATATATATATATATATATATATATATATATATATATATATATA